TGAAATAAGCAACTAACAGCAATTAATTCCACAAACACTGGGTACAGTCCAACAAAACAAAGCACATTTCACGTTCCATGGATTTCAGTGGGGGAGAATGAAGCACATGCACAACTTTCCCACTGCCTTAAATGTGTTTTCTGGATCGTGCCAATATGGACCCTTGTAAGGAGTAAGAAACTAGCCAAAAACTAAATCAATACTTTGAATGGTGGCTTGGAAGCCTTCACAGTCACTTGCCACAGAGGAGCTCTTGGGGCACAGGCCAAAATCAAGATCTAAAACAGGTGACCACTGTATGCATTGTAGGGCATGCAGCAGTGTGACAGCTTCACGATGCATTTGTGACTAAATGCCACCTGACATATTGCTGTAGGTATTGCATCCCCTTGTAAGGCAAAAGAACAAATCCAAGTCGATTGGGCTGAGTTTTTCATTGCTCAGTCCAATTCATACTCTGTGCCTTCACTGTTACTTCCTGGTATGCAGCAGGATCCAACATCTTCTGGGAAGCAGGGTTCAGTAGCTGCTTCATAGACAAACCCTGTTAAAGGAGGAAATTGTACGGTTTTCTTTACCATGGTCACTTTTAAAAATGGCAAAAAACTCTTCTGAAGACAGTCGCATTTGCAGGAAGAAAAATAAGTTTTCCTTTTAGGTGGAGCAGAGAGAAACTTCCTTTGCTTACTGCAAATGCAACTGTCTTCAGAAGATTTTTCTTTGTGAAAGCATACTTTTCAATTGGATGCCTCAAGGCCAAAGTAGATGAGACACTGGGAGAACTGTTAACTGATCTCCCACAGAGTTTTTTAAAATTCAAAGAACCCACCAGGGAAGGCACTCAGACTGGACTGGGGCCACATCACCAAAGGAAAGTAGTGCTAACCCCTTTTCTTTATGATATTTTCTCAACTTGAATAGCCATCCCAATGCAATTTAACCCAAAGGTACTCTATTTTGCCTTGAAGAGCTAATAGCACTGCAGTGAAATGTACACCCAGCAAGAACAATTTTCCCACAAGATGATCTAGTCTTGATTTACTTCATTTCTATTCTGCCTTTCTCTTAATCAGGGACCCAAAGTGGTTTACGCTGATCTCCTCTCCTCCATTTTATCCTCACAACCACCATGTGTAAAGAGTAAGAGTCCAGCAGCTCCTTAACCTTTCGTGAGCTCACTTCTTCTGTTCTATATACTGGAAAGTGGAGTGATTTCAGATGCCAAATGACATTAGTAGGCAAATGACAATAGAAGGTGTGATTGGATTGGGTGTGATATGTGGAGAGGTAGTAGGCGTGCAGAAATCAGCACTGGTAATGAGATAGGAAACGTAGGTCTCCATTCAGTCCAGGTGGATAAATTGCCTTGAGTTTTGTTATCAGCTGTAATTCAGCAGTCTTTCTAGTCTCCCTTTGAAATTCCTTTGCAGATAACTTTGTAAGATAACTGCTACTCTGAGGATCTGCTACTTTTAGGATCTAACAACCATGTGAGGTAGTTTAGGCTAAGAATGTGTGTCTGGCTCAAGATCACCTAGTGAGTTTCCAGGGGAGAGTAAGGATTTGACCCTGGAGCTCCCAAATCCTAGTGCAATACATCACACTGGCCTTCACACTGGATCCCTTGAATCCTTCAGACATGAACTTGGGGACAGAATTCTCCTAAATATCTTTTTGAAGAGGATAGTGTAGCCAGATTTGAGGACAGGTGCTTGCTCTCTAACTGCAGCCCAAATCTGCCCTAAAATGTAGTCTTGTTGATGTCTCCTGACATGAGTGTGTGACTCCTGAAGCTTCCCAATGACCTGTGTTGCATGTCCTGACTTTTCTTCCCCTTCTGGATTTCTGCTTGGATGACTGCTTTAGGTTGCTGCTTTGGACTTTGGCTGTGAGATCTTTTAGCTGCCCAGACTACCTGTGTCTTGCAGAAGACCTGTAGCAGTAGCTATCACATCACTCCGTTTCTCTTGCTGAATTTGCAAATTATTCAAGAGTTTAAGCACTTTTAACTGTCCATGAATTTTGTTTGATTCAAATATTTTCATCTTAGACAGTCAGTTGAACTAGTCACAGAAAAAGTGGCTAAAGACTGAGATTCACCTTCTTATCTTGTTTTATCAGATATCTCATATGCACCTGCAGATCAGCTCATATGTTGCTCACCTAGTTTAGAACCAACCAGTTATCTAGAAGGTGTCACATTATGCTAGCTAATCAACATTCATACTACTGATCTCTGTTATGAACCGATCACTTTTTAAAATAATATCGCATGATTATGATAGATAAGGGTTAGAGAGAAGAACTGATATTTTTATGTAAACATGTACTCCTATGACAAGCAAATGAGATTTCTCTGGATGGAAGTCTCAAAAGGAGAGTAGGTGAGAATACCTGGTGGGTAATTTGGGCTTATTTGGTTATCCCTAAAAGAAGTGACTTAAACAATGAAAACTGATTTATTTTAAAAACTATTACTTGCTAAAAAGCACTGCTAGGTACTTTGATAATTTTAGCATTTCTTTTTACTATAATTGTAGTAACTGTAGAGTTAATTTTTATGCGGGTATTTTGTTCTGTCCAGTTCACTAAAGAAACTAATTTCTTATCTCAATAAAGGATAAAAGGTTTCTGTAGTGTTTCTGTCTGGTTGGCTGCTTATATTCAAAGTTGGAACTCAGCATCTTTATTCTTTTGTATTATCAGAATTAAAAGTTGTTAATCATCTTTTAATATGATACGCCTGGAGGAGACTGGGGAGGGGGATGAAATGGAGAGTGGGGAGAATGCCAGTAATATCAATAGAAGTAATTAAGTATGGAGGGGTTTTGTTTTTAAGGCTGGGGGAGAAGGAAGGAGAATTGGCCTCCTGGAGCCCCAAGCTGGAAGACAAGATTAGAATCAGGATTCCCTCCCCATCTGCCATTTCAGGATGCTATAAGCATATCAGGGTTTCAACCACTTTGAAACCAAAAGAGTTCTGAGCATGAGGATTAATTCGGAGAAAAAGTAAAATCTTCCTGATTCTAATTACATCTTCCCAGAATCCTTTAAGTTGCCAAGGGGAAGAGTCCCTAAAAGTTTACATAAAGAACCAGGAGTCTTGTGGCACTTTAAAAGAATAAAAGATAAAATTTGATTCCAGCATAAACTTGGGTTGCAGTAACATTACTGTATTGCAAAGAACACGAGGGTGTTGTAACACGATAAACATCCCATTTGAAAAATGGGTGGTGTTGGGAGGTAGGTGGGGTGAACATGTGTCACTGATGACCAAAATGGTGGAGGAGTGGGAAAAATAATCTGAATTCAGAAATTCCCCACTTAAAAACTGCAAGTTACAATCCAAAGGGGGAAAAAAGTCGTGGAAAAGGAGAATTCAGAAAGTGCATGGTAAAGGAGTGTTTCCTTTGAATCTACTCCTGGGGAGTTGAATTTCAGTGCAGAAAAATTCGCAAACTCTGAGGAATTAAGAACGCCAATGGGTTTTTTTTGCACTATTGTGGAAATGGTTTATGCTGAACATTTGTAGAGGCACAGCCCCTTGAAAGTATCAGATCAGGTTCTCTGACTGGATGCAGGAGGGAATCTCACACTACAGACTTTCTGAAGCACCATCCTTCCTGTGTCCCTTCTCCTCCTTGTGGTTATTTGCTACTCAGACACTTGGACTCCTACCTCAGGGTTTGAATTGCTGTTTGAACCTTCAAGAAGGCAGCTATAGCCCTCTCTGCTGTGTCTATCTTGCTCCACCTCTTGGGCTTCTTGCTTGAAATTGCCAGAACACTAACTACATGTCTGGAGTGACCGGCCCATTTAGGGGACTTTCCATTGTACCTCTGCATCCTGACACCTTAGGTGAACTTCTACATGGGATCTATGCACACTGAAATCAACAATACTTGCTTTTAAAGTAAAGGTGGCTAGGCTTTTGGTGTGCATACAGTGTGATGAGAAGCCAGCCATCAGTTTATGGAATAGCCTTGGGAAGTGGCAAAGATGCCACTGAACCACTTTCCAAAGAACATATAATGAATTGCAATGGAATAGGTCTCACCAAATGATGGGGACTATCACCTTGACCCTGCATGTTTGAATTTACCTGGGCCTGAGGATGTAGCTTGGCTTTCCCCATTTCCCACTCCTTCTGGAGGCGGTTCAGTTGTTTCATCAGATATCGATGGCTTCAGTGATGAATCCAAAGGCTTGGGCAAAATCTCTTCAATCAGTGGCTTCAAAAGTTTTGCCGGTTGTCTTTCAGTTTCCAAGCTTTCCTCTTTTAGTACTAGTAGATCTTCTATCAGGGGCTTTGCAGCTACCTTTGTATTGTTTTCGGAAACCTTATACATGCTTGAAAAGATGGCAGCTGGAATCTCGTCTGCTGCTGTGTTGCTAAAAGCAGCTGTGTTGCTAAACTTGCTTTCTACCATTGTGCAGCTGCTACTATCACTTCCTTCAGAAACTACTTCAATCTTCAGAGGGCAGGTTTGCTAGAAAGGTAAAATAACCAGCTTGAAAACATTTATTTCAACAGAAGTTGGGGACCAATGAGCTGGCTTTCCTCATAACCATCATACAGACAGTCCTTCAGAAAACTGTGTGTGTGGCAGGATATCTAAATAGGGGATAGTTAAGCCAGACTCCATAAAGGTGTTTTTAGGCTGACAAACGAGAAAGAGAATGGAAGCTTAAAAGTGACTGTACTTGGTAAAGTAAGGACCAACTGGGAGGGCCTCCTCCTAGTGCAAGGGATAACGAACTAGCTAATTTGAAGAAGCCCTTTCTGCTGGAACAAGTGGGAAGGCACCATCCTCCTTAATGAAGGATACCTACATGAGCACTTATGCATACAGTGCTTGTGTGTCCCGCGGGCCAATTTCAAAAGGCTCCTAACCTCCAAATGGGTAATTGTTGCCCCTTCAGGAACATCCCCGCATTTGCACCATGTACTCAGCTCTCAAAGGGCCTCAACCTGATGAAAATAAATTGGGAAGACATGCCTGGCTGGTGAGGATCTCATTGCACAGTGAGGCTTCACTGATATCCACATCTTCCAAATCGGGCAATTCCTAAAAATTAAAACGAGTCAGGCATTTATTGAGTAAAGCCACTTTTAAAAATTAAAAATAATGGAATGTGCAGGAAAGGGAGAAAGCCAAAATGCTGGATTCTCCATTCCAGTCCTAATCCACTCCCCCGACTCCGCATTTTCAATACATACATCGACGAAGAGCTTCTCTGATACATCCAGCTGAATTTGTTCAATCTCTGCAGATTCATCCAGGTCAGTAAGCAATGGTCCTGGTACAGCCATCTTATCTACTGGCACTTCTACAAAAAGAGACAATTACATGTGGTGGAAAAGCAATAGTGAATTACCGTACATTCTGGGTCTTGACACCCCTCTGACTCCTTTGCCTGCATTCATATTGGGGCTGGCACCCTTCTCTTATCCCATTAATCCGCAAGATTGATGTCAGTTTGCTCCATAGTTAGGGGAATTATTGACTTTTGTGACATTTCAAGGCATTTTTTCTTTTTTAAAGCCTGATTATATTTAATCACCAGTTCTGAGGAAGTTAATCCAGAACTAAGCCCCATTGAAAGCAGTGAGACTTGGTTCCATCTTAAGGGTTCTGGATGGACATGTCAGATTCACAGTGCAATTCTAATCAGAGTTGCACCATACTAAGTCCATTGACTTCAAGGGGCTTAGACTGATGTAAATCTGTTTAGGACTGCAATGTATATGTTACACATTTCTGCTCTGGGTTAATTTACACCTATCAAAGTTTTCCTAATAGCAACAAACTAAGAAATTTGTTAACCCAGCCCGCTACACCTGTGTGTATGCCAGTCCCAATCTTAGATGAATGGGGAGGGTCGGAGAAAGACCTGGTGACGTACTCCGGAAAAATCCGCCAAGAAAATGTTATGGAATGGCTGGCCCATAGAATCGCCAAGAGTCGGACACGACTGAATGCCTAACAACAAGATATTTGTTACATTTCACACACTGGTCACAACTCTACTTTATATTTTATATAAAGTGTTCATTTATATTATGTCTGAAACCTTAACAAGCTTGTCGTCCAATATTATGCCTCTCCCCATGGGGGGCGGGCCAAGGCTGCCTTTCCTAATAAGCTTAGAGCTAAGGTGACAGCTAAACTGGACTCACAGCTCAGCTTTAGCCACGTGCTCCATAATCTCCTGAAAAATTATGATGGAGAAGATGTTGAAACATGAGGCTTAATATCTACATGACACTGCTTGGGAGAGTTGGTTCAGAGAATTGCAATCTGGTATCTTCAATTCATTTATATTATGTCTGAAACCCTAACAAACTTGTCGGCCCATATTATGACTCTCCCCATGGGGGGCAGGCGAAGGCTGCCTTTCCTAATAAGCTTAGAGCTAAGGTGACAGTTGAACTGGACTCACAGCTCAGCTTTAGCCACAGCACCGGTTGATCCAGTGCAGGCGCACTAGATCCCATTGGTGTGAAGCACAGAGACCACGAAGAAGATCATGAGACTTAATATCTACATGACACTGCTTGGGAGAGTTGGTTCAGAGAATTGCAATCCGGTATCTTCATGTAGATGATACACATTCCTATTTTTCTTTTTCAACTGAATTAGGTGGTTCAGATGACATCCTTGACCATTGCCTTGAGCTGGTACAGGGCCTGATGAGGGCCAATAAACTGAAGTTGATTGTAGAGCTACCAGCTGTCACAAAGGCAGTTTGGGTTTTGTAGTCAGCCTGTTTTGAACAGCACTGTGTCCCCCTTAAGGAGCAGGTTTGCAGTCTGGCTTTGCTACCTGATCCAGGTCTACTGAGGGCGACACAGACCTCTGTACCACATAGCATCCTCCACAAGCTTTGGCTGGGGAGCCAGCTGCAGCCCTTTCTTGAAAGGCACATTCTGGCCACCATGCTGGACATCCATGTTGGACTACCACAGTCTGATCTATGTAGTTTCTATTGAGGAATCTCTGGACATTTCATCTGGTTCCAAATGTGGCAGCAAGCAGATGTAAACCATAGTCACCACATGTCACCTTTTAAAAAAGGGATTTCCACGGGCTGACAGCTTTTGGGCACAATTCACACTGCTTGCTCACAGTCTGGCACCAGGATACTTGGGAGAATTACAGTCTTCTGTACGAGCCTGCCTAAAGTTCTTCTTCAGAAACCTTGCTCTCAGTGTTCCTGTTGATGGAGGCACCAGAGACTTTTGCGTTGTTGCCCAGGTTGTTGTTGCCCTTCCCCACAAAGGTATCCTGGCTACAAACTTGCACACTTTCAGCTGCCAGGCAACTTTCTACTTTTCTGTTTGCTGAAGAATAAAAAACAATATACTCCCCCACAC